ATCCAGTGAAGCCCACAGATTTTAGAACTTCCGGGAAATATGGATATCAGGTGATGGTATGCCACAACACACTTTTCAATAATAGTTCAAGGGCATGAAGGCCGCAAACCAACCACAACAATGTGCATCCAAATTTCGTTTCAATTCTGGAGAATGCCCCTTGGATCAATCTTTTATTAGATGACATAGTATCAAAAAATATACTGATGATATTGTCACCTAGCCCAAATCAAATCACTTCCTCAATAACTACTACCAGTGCCTTCCAGGGCAACAGGTACATCAAGCAAATGCTCAAAATTTTTGCCTGTCACTAGAACTGCAACACTATCTTCTAAGGTTTTGACACTCCCATGGCAACTGAGAGAATTCAGTTAAATCAGAATATGAACCAAGTCACTCAGCAGAATATGAAAGTCAGTTAAAACAAATATGAAATTTCATATTTGCTTTAGCAGTCTTTCTCGATTTTTCTTTACCCAGATTTTGAAATTCTTTGTACAGCTTCTGTATCCTCCACCTTAACAGGGATATTTACATTCCTCCACACTTCCTGTAGTTTAGTACTAGTAGATTTAGAAGCATTCAAAAGTGTTTTTTTTTAAATTTCTTTGTAATAGTAAATAAAAACAAAGTACTTGTTCCTTTGAAGGGAGACTGGCTCCTTTTAGCAGCCAAATTCCTCTTTAAGTTCCTGAGAGGCCCATTAGCACAAAGCACTTCAATATTAGAAATTTCACTAGTTTAAGGTAAAAGTGATCAATGTGCGCAACCCCTGAATACATCCTATCTTCTTGAAATTTGTCATGTATGTCTTTTGCGTTTCTGAGTCTCGGGACATAATTAAGTCTAATTAACATTACATGATACACCCTAGTGTACATCATATCTTTCTAGCATATGCAGCAGCTTCAAAAACACATTTAACTAATCTGAGATATTCCCGTGACTATTCACACTTCTAATTTACTGAAAGTACAATACCTTCTTTGAAGTCTGCACACAAAGCTAATGACTTGTATAAATTATTATTGGGTAAAATAAATTGGGTATCATTGAGAAATTATTTTGAAACATACAAGAACCCTTACAATGTAAGATTTCATAAGATACTTAAAGAATTCAATTGCAAGAACTTTTTTATGTACTCTTCTGCAATTCTCAATCTAGCTAAAATGGTGTCTCAATGATTTGTCTCTAAGTTTATATAGTTTTTCTTTAGCTGTAAAACAACGCATTTATGAATTTAATTAGTTTTATATTATTATGCTTTTATAGTGAAGTATTCCAATAATTGGGCAACATTTGCCTCATGAGAGTAGTAATTATTAAATTAGTCTTAATTTTTTTTTTAGGTCTGTTCTTTTATTATCTATTGCGCTATTGCCTATTGTATATTCACAAATAAATAAATAAATAAACACGTACACTAATGAGCAGGAGGTACCAACATTCTACAAGCATGGATTACTCAATTGTTGCCTCTGTTCATGAGTTTCGGATGTCTACCTATATATACCTTCTGCTGAATTTGAAAAAATTTAAAATTCATTTTATAATTAAAACTTATTACCTTCGTAAGAGCATCAGCTACCACATGAAACTGATGTTCACACAAGATTTTCCATAGACCCAAGACTTCACATGTATGAGTGACAAAGCCTTTGAATGCATCAAGAGAGCGTTTTTCTTCTTGCAGGGCATCTCTTGAAGTATATCGAGACCTGCTTTGAGAAGGAGTTTCTTCCACTCTTCTTGATAGTCCTTGGGCATTCCTAGATATAAAAGAATCGAAATGTTACAAGATATGAATGAAATAAGAACAATTCAAATGATGTGATCAAATAAACACGTACAAGAGACTGAATGGCCCATTCTTATTGAGAAAAGATTGCAGTGTGTGAAGATGTCCTAATATCCATACACAATCTTCCCTGGTCAAGTTGCTACAAATCTGAAAGGAAGAAAGGGAACCAAAAGAAAATTAAATTAAATAAACAAATAAACTAGTGATTAAATGTGTAATTTTTTTATGTAGGCAAGAAAGTAGTGAATAAGATAACATAATTATAAAAGCGTTTCAATAATGCATTAAACTGACAAACTGCTACAGTCCTCAGGGTGTCCCAACATGCCATTCAAAGTTTCCTAAAGTGGTTCATATCTGATATGGAACATATGGTGAAGTTTCATTTTTGCATAACCTTACTCACTTTTTTTACTGTGGAGATGGAAGGAAAAGGGGTGAAGAAAAAAAGGTGTAGACAAGTATAATCTTCAGGATACATGGAGAAACAAAGCAAGCCTGCAGGGGGAAAGAAAACTTAAGACTACAGAGTAGGACATGTAGAAGAATCTATGTAAAGAAAAATATGATAAATTTAGCACAAGGAAAGGAAACATACTCACGAAATTAATATTATTATCTGTAGTAGTAACATGAACTGCTCGCATGTTCCAAATGGGTCCTAAAACACGCCCCACATAAATGTATAATGCATTATGCTTTGCTGAAAAGTTCACTAAGCCAATGCTGCCATCAATTACACTAGTTGAAAGTGCTGCTTGAGCTGGAGATTGTGGTGTTCGAGGTGAATAGGGTGTCGTGTACCCATGCATGGAAACATTTCCACCAAATGACTGAGGAGATGAAAATGATTGTTGGTTCAAATTACGGGGCTGTGGAATCTGTGCACCATGCACTGGAGTAGAAACAGTAGTTGGGTTAAATCCTAGAAGGAAAAAAATAATCACATACCATTAAAAATTTAATACACTTAAAAAAAGGATTATTAACAGATAGCTGATTCCAAAAGCACTAAGCAATACACACTTCAAGTTTTTGGATCTTTCCCAACTTCATAAGCATTTGAGATGTAAGGATTTAAGAATATTTTCCTACAACACATTGAATACAGAAAACATAGCAAAGCTGTGTCAAAAATCAGAAATTTTCAGACATTAAAACTCTGTCACAATGTGTGGACCTGGTTTCAAAAAAGGAGATAATTCTTGTTCCTATACACTACTTCCTAGCTAACTGTGTCGGTGAAATGCACGGTTTGTTGTGCCTTGATACTAAAATATTGCTAGATAGCCAAATTCTGTAGTTACGCAAACGCCTAAATCATTCTGACAATTTTCTCTAAAACTGACATAAGCCGATCAAATTGGCTGAACTTTGTGTACTGTGAGTTTTAAATGGAGGTTTTGATTGTTGTCTAGGCTATCCGGGACGAGCCGTGTCACTGTCATGGTAGCAAACGTTTCGGCCAGCGTTAACTGCGTTCAGCAGTACACTCTGAAGAAGGCCACAATACACTGGCCGAAACGTTAGCCACCATGACAGTGACACGGCTCGTCCCGGATAGCTTAGACAACATAAACTCCGGCCGCGGAAGCCTACACAACCGGAGATTTTGATTCTTGCGAGTACTTTACATAAAGTACTAACATTTTAAAAATTTGTCAATAATGGCTCAATTTCTTTTTCATTTAACTTTCCTTTGGATAGAACAATGATGGTTAGAGAAATCTGTTCTTCAAAGAAAGATCTTTAAATAAGGTCATTGTGTCTTTAGGATGGCTCATGGGTAGTGTGATGTGGACCTAGGATCGATTCTCGACAAGGCCAAAATAGAGTTGCAGCTTTCTTGAAAATAGACTCAGTTTCTGGAGCTGTGTAATGAGGAAAAGCTCAGACAGGTGATGTTTGCTAGTTACTGAAGGGAATATACCATGTCCACATGTCTCTCTTTACTCCCAAGCATGGAAATTAAACTAAGCCCACACATGGGAACAGTGGTGGCTAACTGGCAAAGTTGAACAATCTACCCAAAATGTCAAATACATTCATATCTGTAAAACTGTTCAAAAATACAAGTCATTTTAACATACTTTTGGATGGAGAATAGGAATTTTTAAACAATTATCTTCTCCTAAAAGCTGCAATTTTTTTCATTTCATTTTTTTCTTAGATAGAGCAAAGGGCATGTAGAAGCTGAAGTTACCTTTATCTAGATTAAGATTAATACATTAAACATTAATTCTGTAAAATCTTAGACTATTTACAAGGATGATTTGTTCTTGAATAAATTGGCAAATAATTACATTAACTTTTTGAAGTTATCATACTAATATAAAAAAATAGAAAATTTGGCCTAGAAACTTTGAAAACAAATAATATACAGGCACATAATTCTTCTTACCTCATGAGAACAATCTGCCTTCAAGGAGAATGATAAGAATAGCGAATAACAACAATGACCACCTTTTCTCTTTCATTACATAGCTTCAAATAAACTAATTTCTGCTACTCAGTTGAATGACTTCAACTTCTCTCTAAATTGTCTTATTACATTGTACTGTAAACATCTTGTAATTCATACTAAATTTATTGCACTGAGTATACCTTTTACTTTCTAAAGGTCAATGACACATCAAGATTTTCAAACATGAAAATAAATTAAATAAAACAGCATTCACTAGACAGACAATATATTTCCTTTTTAGTGAATTTCCTGTATATAACACTTTCACAACTGTCACACATTTCCTTTTCACAATTTGAATTGTCACTGATGAGAATTAGATGTGTTGGAAACGTCATAAACCACATTCTTAAATTACATTAAACATGTGCCACAAAAGAGCATATCTCAGCTCTTGCTTTGGTTTGATTGTATAAACTTTTGATATTACTGACATATAGTTAAAAAAATGTTTGAGAAGTCATGTATGATATATATGTAACTATTGGGTATTTTGAAAGTGAAACTATATGCAGTCAGTTGAAGTAGGAAACCATATCAATTCGAAAAACAAATGCAATTTCAAAAATACATATTAATTCAAGGTTGAATTTACTCTTACTAAACATATGTACTATGGAGAGAAAAATAAGATAAATCCTGTAACTAACACATGCACCCAACAAATTATACATTGAGAAAAATATTTAGAGGATTTTTTTGGTGAATCAAAGGCTGGATTTGATATGCGAATTCACTGAAAAAATATCAATCTCAACTAGGTTCAGATTGATGCTTTCAGTTAACTGAAATTATTTAGTTTTAAGCTGTCTTTAATTATATTTATTTAAAATCATATCATTCCGTCTCGAGATGCTGTAAATGTACTAGGAAGACCAATTACTCAGCAAATAAAGGACACCATTAATACTTACCCCCTTGCATTGAATACTGGAAAGATGTTGATGCTGCAGGATTTGTTGGATTTTCTACAAGATTTTTGGGTTCACCACCATACAAAAAGAATGCCCGCGATGCCCAATCAACTATCTGACCATTCTGTGTGCTGTCCTGACAAGCAAGAATTAGAGCACATGCACAAGCTTGATCCTCTCTTATCTCTTTAAAGAATCTTTGCACAGCTGGCCCATCTGGACCATGGCTATCCAACAGCAACTGTTTCAGGACATCTACTGGTCGCAGTTTCAATAAAATTTCTATTCCCTGAAATTAAAAATAATAAAAAAATTGAATGTACTTATTTGAATAAAAATGAGTAATAATGGTGTACAAGAAACTAGAGATGCTACAACAGTCCATTCTTTCTAATAAAATTGGTAATAATTATAAATTATTATAGTACTGCCACTTCTCCACTAATAACACATCAGTCAGCACTTGTAAAAATCCAAACCAAACAAAGCATTTGAGATTCAAAGATCTTTAGTCAGAAAATTTAAAACTTAACTGTGGTGATTCTCACATGTTATAAAACAAAATCATTTTCATTGTTTAAATTTTTATTTGTATAATTTTAAAAAAGATACAACAGGCTGAGTAGTCCAATACATATATGAAAACTGTTCATACAGGGTCTTATTCTTAAGTCACAACCCATGTCTAGAAACACCACCTTTTGTTTTGTCAATTTGACAATGCATGAAATACCTTCAACATATCTTTCACTTTTAGCAACCCTCAGCTGTGTGCCTTCAGATTTCAGACTGGCAGAATGCATGGCTAATTTTAGTTGGACGAAAGATGACACTGTTTGCTATCTTGTTACTCTTCAACATACTGCAGGCCTTACACTGAAAAGAGTAAACATCTGTCTCTTGAATGGTAACTTTGAGCATTTACTTGGTCAGATTTCTTATTGTCATTTTAAGGAAATTACATATTATTTATTTTATTAATGATTTCCAATAATAATTAATTTACTATTTATTTTTATTCATATTTTTATTAAGATTTTTTATTTGTTTAATTGAAAAACCAGCCGGTTGGGCCAGAGACCCGCTGAGCAGAGATCTGGAGGGAAATCCCCTGCCCGAGTGGGTTGGCAATGGATCTCACCATCCAGTGGTGAATTCTATGGATAAAAATCACTAACTACTGTAACGGGAATACTGACCATAGAATTTGATGTGTCCAGATACATTAATCAATCGACTGATATTGACCTTTGTGGAGAGCTGACCAGAAGTCGAATCGATGGCTGAGTAACTTTCTGTCTCTTTATTACATTTTGTGGGAATTGTTAATATCCTGTCTTGCAGGGGCCATACCAGAGGGAACTCCCCATGAGACACCTGGCAATAGAAGTGCACCACGAGGAAAGGGGTACAATTTGACAACTCGCAGTTTTTTTAATTACCTTGGTGACAGCACTGGAGAAGAACCATAAGACATTACAGGGTTCTTGCCAGATATCGATATTAGGCCCCACGAAAAGGAACCTCGGTGACTAGGTCCTTCAAAATCTCCCTCTGCTTCCGAAAGGTAGGACAAACTGAGTTAGCCACATGGTTTCCTTCACAATTTGCACAGTGTGGTGGAATGAGCTCTGACGTGTACATTAATTTGCCACACGTTGCCTACATCAGGCAGTCTTGCTCTCGTTGCATTGGCATTTAAAACAGCACAAAAGGTTAAGCACTTACTGATGCATGCAAAGATTAACCATAACAGATCCTATCTGAGAGGGATGGAAAATGGAAAGTTTGAATTAGAGTATAGAGGAGATCGCCCTCCAATGTATATCTTGCAAGTGCATACAAGTGGATTTAATTCTAGAACAGTTGAAGTATGTGGAACTACTCCATTTGTAAAATCTATACAGGACCAATTGGAGTTTCCTTTGTATTACACCGATACTACTGGTTGAACACAAGATTGCAAAATTGTTCACAAACAGTGAAGGTTTTAGAAGTTATTGCATAATCGATACTTTATAATTTGTGGTGATGGCAGTTGTTTTCAACACAAAGCTTTAAAATTTTGAAATAAATCTATGGATATATAAGGAGAGCTTCCCCTTATATCCCCAAGGGTGAAAAGTTTGTAGAATGCTGTACATCCAGGTAGTGTCTTATCTTTATCAAAGAGAATGGGCACAAGATGTTTCATGACAGACAAGGAAGATATTTATGTCTCCACCACTAAGTGATTGTCTAGAATCAATTGGTGGCTTCTAAACACACGCTGGGTAGGTGTAAGCATATTTCTATGTCCCAAGGTCTGAACCGAACAATGACTTACCATGCATTCCAATATTTTGCATATGCTGATGGGTACATCTAAAATTATGCATTATCTGATACCTGCAGGTACTATTTCATGTCAGCAGTAAAGTATCAAATATTAAAAAATGTTGTACTTTCCAGGACTCATAATTAATTTATTCAAACATCAATAATATCAGAGTTTTCACCATCATATTTAATATTTGGGATTTAAGACACTCTAAAATTGTAACACATTCACTAAGTCATATGCGTATTGCCTTTGAAGCAATCGATGATAATGAGAAACTAGCTTTTTCACAGACAATACTTTACAGTTGACAATGATATGCTGATTAAATCACATCTTGTATTTGTTTATTTATATGTATTGAAATACTTTTATAATCCACAGAAATTTATAATGGCCTTTCTCTTTAATTCCATTTTAATGTTTAAAACTGTTCCACACTTAAATTAATAAATATACAAGTTAACAAACCTGTGATGTGAAAGCAATGTATTTCCGAGGTGGTTCCATGTGCTGACGGACCATTAATGGTGGATCAGCAACCATTATTGGCTGAGATGGAACAGACATACTTGATGCAATAGGTACTGAATGCTGTGAAGTATTCTTTAAGCATGTTAAGAATGCTTGAGCATCTTGACCCTTCACTTCTTCCAAAGCCCAAGCAGTGCCATCAAGGGTCAGCACAGTCTGAAGGTCAGCGATGTGCGATTGGAAGGGATAGAGATCATTGTTCAAACACCACACCATGTCCTTGTCCCCACCGGGAGATGAAACCAAAACTAGAGTCCCTAAAATGGAAAACACATTTTCTTTAAGCTAATATTCTACAATTTAAGGACCATGAAATATAAATATATTAATGAGAATACGAATCTACTATGGGCCACCAACAAAACTTCAAACTGTTCATAATACCGAAATGCAGTTTGACTCAATTATGAGGAATCAAGGGGCAAGTAATACAATGTAGTTGTTTTTAGTTGATTTTTAGTTTCTGAGAAATCTAATCATCTTACATTTTTTATATAGAACTATATATTTTTCTCACTAGCATTGGATTGTTCATAATAGAAATGCAATATCATTTATTAAAGTTTTAAAAGTAACTTGAGAAAAAAGTTCTACTTTCAGACATTTGATTTTAAAATAATTGCACAATATTTCCTTAAGTAGGTCTTGGAACTGTGACCTTTGGGGAAGGTGACCATGATACTGCCAAGATTTCCACAGAGAGAAGGGACCCAGAGGGGTGGCAGATCATAAAAAGGAGAATACAATGATGTTACACAACAACAATCATTAATGTTGTGATAGTCTGTGGGGAAGGTAGCCTTTACCGCATCAAGATTGTTACGAGAAGAGGGGAACCTGATGAACCCTCCCCCTTGATAGAAAATCAACTTCAGACACTCTGTAGGATCATATTAAATTTTACCAATTCACCAGATACTTCGAAATCCAAAATGACTTTTCCAAAATTGATCCAAATTATTGCCTTCTGAGTTGCTTTCGAAAAAGGTGTTTATCCTGGATTTAGAACAGCGATTTCAATTTTGCCTGCACACTCCAAAATTTTAATGGGAGTAGATGAATTTGTACCAGTGACTTCATTGTATTCTTGTAGTCGTTGTATTTATGTACCTAATACATTAATTATAATCAATGCACATTTTACCCGTAAATAAAATTAATGGTTAATAATATCATGAACAAGCAATGGCGATTGATGCAGGATTCATTTGCCAAATTTATTTTGCATTGCAGCATTCATAATGGTGTAAATTGATAGAATATATATTATTTATATTTAAATATAATATTGTAATACTTGTAAACTGCTCATTTAAAACGAATTACTCTTTATTCTCCTTGCTTTTGTAGGCAATGATGATGCTCTCTTTGTTTACATACTTAAGAATATTCTCTCAAATATTGCAATAACTACTCATAATTCAAATAAAAATAAACGAAAGATTTAAAGATTGAGAAATAGATTGCACTGCGAAAGAAATCGCTAACTTTAATATCCTAAGCATACGACAGGTTTGAAAACCTGGAAACATTTTTACCATTAAACTCAAAATAACATGAAAACCACTCATATTTTCAAAACAGTGTGCTTGACCTTATTTAAAGATCAGAGAAACAGATTTCATTATTGGGTCCTGTACTCTTTTATAAAAGTATTATGGCACAGTTTTTGAGAAAATATTATTTCCAGTGAGTGGCCAAATTATTATAGTTAAGTGTTTTTTAGGTCATTTTAAAGTTAATTCATAAATGGGTTGACATACTCATTTTTGAAACTGTTTTGTGATTTATTTTCTATATTTGTAGTGTTTATAAGGAATGTGTAAGGAATAAAATTTAAAAAATGATGATTTAATACTTTAATAAATTATTTACAACTTTGGAAACTAATTCTTCAGTATCTTGTAAATTCTCTCTTGGAATTCTTGAAAGTTTTGATGCATAGAAGCATATTTCTAATGCATTTTATAGTTTTATCCTGACAATGTTGGAGAATTTTGCCAAACCTTGGTGATTTTCATGACAAGTTCTTTCTTGTTTGTAATAATTTTATTCTTCGATATTTTTCTTTTTAGTTCCTCCCACACTCTCTAATAGGTGAGTTCCCAGGCCAATCTATGGCTTTAATGTTGTTTTCTTGAGAAAATGTGTTACTTTTAGTTCCTTGTGTCACAGAGATGAATCTTGCAAGAGCACTAAGTTCTGAAACCATTCTTTCACCTGAGGAAGATGTTTCGGTAGCACCTTTATAAATTGATCCGACGAAGTTCCTTGCACAAAGTAGAGCATTCCTGTGGCAAGGTGGCTAATTACCAACCATAATACAATGAAGATTTTTTATTCATTCCACAATACAGACATTATTGTTTTTCTCATTACGCTTGCGTTGTCTGAATGATATCTTATCCTGCAAGATCTGGATTGAGAACTCGTCTGAGAGGCAAACATGCAAATTAATATTTTTGGAAGTTTATTCTTCTCATTGCCTTGTTTAAATTTTTTAAACACATTACAAACCTTGTTCCAATCTTCTTCACTCCAATTCCAGTACTTTTTAGCAAAATTTAACCTCTTGTTCACCATTGCAGGTTGAATTTGGATTTTCTCAGAGGTCGTCGACACTTCAGATCCACTTCTGCAAACCTCCTCCTACGAGTTCACTCTAATAGATGCACTCCAGTGACTTTGAGAATCATGTTCACAAACTTTTAAAATTTTCAACGGTTTCCCGATGCACTGTGATGTATTTTTCTTGGTGAAGTTATTTTTTACTGTGAAGCTTTCTATAGATATTTCAAACTGTTCACTGCGAAAACTCTTTCCAAATTAGCACTCTCTTGGTGAGTATGTACAAGGACTGATGAGTGGCAATTTGTTCTTTTTGTTGTGGTATAAGATCAAAATTTTCAACCATGACCACTGAAATAATTTTTTATGTTATGTTAGTTTTTACTATTAAAATATCAAATAATACATTAAATTGTACAGTAAATGGCAAAGTTACTTCTCTGTAGTATGATTACCTGAATAACAATACCAAGTAAACAAAAATTTCAAAATAACTTCAATCAGCAATCAGGTATAACAAACACAGAATTTAAAAATGGTCACAGAAGACATGCTGCAGAGTTGTATAGCATGTTGGCTAGTGTTACCAATATCAAAAAAATTAATAAAACATATATTTGATAATAACAGTCAATAGTTGAAATACTACCTCAATTAAGCAGCAAAATTACAAAAATAATGAAAGTTTGATCCAGATATAATATTTTAGTATAATAATTAGGCCATCTACTGCTTTTATCTCACAAAATTGTATTTTACCTGTATTACTTGCAAAATTGTTTGAAAAGTATTCAAATTTTCAAAAAAAATATGCATTACCTTCAGGATCTGTATTTCAAAAACACAACGGTCAGAAGAAAATTTTATCTTAAATGTTAGAGTTGAAGGAATCCCAAAAAAATTAAACTTGACCAATTTTCGAAATTTCAGAGTTCGATAAACTGACACCGGTGCCATTTTGTTAAGAGTTCTCTGTTCTATCCAACAAAAAACGTTCAATTCCAAAAATTTTGAGCTATTTTTGAGTTGAGACATCATGTAAAATACCCTCAAATGTTTTTATGGAAATTAATTTTTCCACTATCGAGGACTCACAATACATGGATTCTCATGACAACATATTAGTGGAAGAGGAAGTAATTTACTATATATTGGAACAACATTTATCCCCTTTATCAGCATCAGGGACTGATAAGAGTGTTTGTGTTGAATAATCACCAATTTTCAATTCATCAATTCATGAATCATTGATTTTTTTCCTTGTAATATTACAATACATTCTCTGTATTATGTAAGTAGTTTACAAGAAGATTAAATGCAAATAATTTGGCCTCCTTTATTTTAAAATTAATTAAAAATAAAAAATAAATCAAGTTTATGATTCTGTCAAAAAAACTTATATGAAAACTTTAACAATTATTAATTTCTATTGAAGTACAAACATCCATTATTGGACAAAATAAAATTGTAGGTGTATTTAGATAAAAAAATTCAACTTTTCCCAGCATTTTCAAATTTTTATTTTCTATTTTTACATTTTTCAGGTTCTACAGGTATTCCACGTCAGTACAAACCCTGGAGCTATGCCAAATCTTTAAGCATCTTTTGCTCTATCAGAGGAAAATGTAAAGCAAAAATTTGGTGCCATTTCTGAGAAAATCTTGTAAATAATGTTGAAGCTTCAGGTAAAGTACTAAAAATCAAAATATCAGTTTTAAATCCAAGAGGTCGCAACGTCAGTGAGATCAATGAGGGAATTTTCTGCTTCTGGTTGATCAGTTGATCGATGACTGATCAATTGATGGTAGTGTTCACAGATAAACTTAACCCAATTTTCCGGTATCAAGGACCCACCAATTTTGGATCCTGATTATACAAAGTATTAGAAAAAGTAATTCATTACACTTAGGAACAATATTTATCCATTTCATTGGCAGTGCCTGGTAATAATATTGAGTTTTTCTGTTGAAAAATTGCTGTTTTTTCCACATCATTACAATACTTTCACTATGTGTAAGCAGGATGCAAGAAAGTAATACTGGTTGTTGTTCACAGTGTAGTGCTCATTGATGGAGAAAGATTGTGAATTTCATAATTAAGACTTTTTATAAGATTCTGACGTCGATTCCTTCATATTCATATATTGTATGCCTTGAATTCCTAGTTTTGAGAAAAAGAAAATTTATAAAGGTGCATTTACTAATGGAGCTCAATGTTTGTTTTCTGAGAAAAACTGACCTATCTTATATGAACATACAATCTTTGTTCACTGGGTAGATATGAATGAGAGATCTGCAAAAATTATATTAATTTAAAAATGGCTAAGAGTGGGCATACAATGTTTCATTCATTGTTTCACATAACATCACATAATAATTTACTCATCTGAAGATGAAAAGTGCAGAAATAAAAACCCCTACCTTTTTTATATGTAGCCATATGAACATTACTAGGTCGATTTGGAAGAGAATTCGCAGCAAAACCAGGAGGCAACCGCACATGGAGTAACTCAGCGGTATAAGGTCGCAATGAAGGAGGATTCAAAACTCCACTAGTTGTATAGTACATGCGAACTCCTGTTTGGGTAACCAACACAAAATTCAAGTACGGTGACTCGCTGGCCTCCACAGGACACACACAGACTATTGGCCGGAACACACTTACATCAAGAGTCCTGAAAATGAAAATAATTTTAACAATTTTCCTCTATTTTTTTTCACATATGGAAGCCATAGATTTTGAAGGACAATAGAATGAGCTTTAACAATCAACAGTGACATTTGAATATTTGATTACTTAGAATCCAGAAACTTACTTGCAATTAAGATCAAATTTTCAACCAAACTCATTCAACCTAGAATTTCAAAATTGAAACAAACAAATCATGCTAAAACTCAGCAATGCTTTAATTTTTTAAATCACAACAAATTAAATTAGGTATTCTAAAGTTTGTTAGTGAGAATAATGAAATAAATGATGATTTACATAGCAGTAATGTATAAGTTCAATTTCAATATAAATTCATTCATTCATTGAAATTTCACCCATCATCTTACGTTATCAAAAGTATATTAATATTTAAATCTCATGCAAGACTTGTGAAGATCACAGAGTGTAATGTTCTCTTCCTATTACAATTATAATTGATCAAAATTGAAGTTCTCCCAAGTCATAACAATTATAAATTAATTTCAATTTTAGAATGAAATGGCAATGGAAATCGTGGCCTCTGACATGTACTTAATTTTTGATAGACTTCACTATGCTAAAAGAGACTCTCCAGAGGAACATATACAGTCAAGTAAGGACTGCCAAAATAAATATGGGAAGAACACTCACCAAGTATCCTCCATTAAAATGTGCAATATATTAATAATAAAATAGAAGTAGAGAAATACACACACATATTCACAGTAACTGAACACTGTCTAAAACAACATGAAATACATGCTACATGGTTTTAAAATACCATTTGACTGCTAATTTGTGCCAAACATCATAAAGCTGGTGCTGTTGCATTATTCACATTTCAGGAGGGTGTTACAGAATGGCTGCAAATTTTTTTTCTTAGAAAAGTATCTGACCCTTTTTCTTTCTTTTTTGCAAAAACCTAATGTATTTGCATCAAGCATGCTTGAACAAGCTGACCTTGAACCTTTGTGCACATCTGTGCATTTTTTCCTGCCTGTCAATACTCTCTGCTGTTGGCAAGTAGCATTTGAGTGAGGTAGTGTAAAACGCACCTGTCAGTTTTTCGTTGCAGAGAAATTGAAGGTATGACTGGAGCAGCACTACTGCATCTAAGTATGCCAGAAACTGGGCAAAAGCCAGGTGGAAAACGTTTGGTAGATTCACATGGCTTTTGATGATGCTATGGGCATCTCACTACTTAAGGAGAGGTACAAGCGGTTTAAACATGTACGAACATCGGAGGAGAGCAAGCCATGCTCCAGTCTGCCATCAAAGTTCCAAAACAACCAGGCCATTGCCAAAGTGAACGCTGTGGTGATGCGGGACTGTCGTGTAACTATCCGAGAAATTATGAAAGAGGTGGGCATCAACACTTTTTTGGCACATTTCATTGTGACTTGAAGATTTGGCCATGAAGAGAGTGGTGGAGAAATTCATGACAAAGCTGCAGATAGAGCAAAAGCAAGTTTCTGTTTAAGTCTCACGAACTTCACAACGTAACCCCAACTTAACGAACACCATAACCACTGAAGATGAGTCCTGAGCATACAGGTATATCCCGGAAACCAAATCCCAGGCAGAGGAAGTGCCATGTCAAGGTGTGGAGTGTCACAGTGGAAGCATTCCATGTCACCAAGGCTGAAGAAGGCCCATCAAGTGCGCAGCAAGTAAAGTATGGCCGACTGCTTTCTTTGACTGCTACGGTAACACCCAAAAATAAAAAAATAAAAAAAGCTCTATATCATTTGGATGAGCCAAATACTGTATGTTTCCTTTTTGATACACAAATCTGTAGGCATGAAGATATCAACAAACCAAAAAGGTATTGTAACTATTATCTCATTCCGCATTTTATAATCCAATGATTGTATTACTGTATATGTGATTGTTATATTATGTAACCATTCTCTATGTATTATATTATGTATGTATTAGTATATGATACAACTGTTTTGTATAGTATTAATTGTGTAATCCTTTTTATGGTTTTGAATTGTAAAGACAATCAGATGACCATGAATAAATATTATATGTTTAACACAGTTGCCATTACTTTTGTAATAATCCTTATAACATATATCCATATTTTTCATTACAAAAAGAATATGTCAACTTACTTAACAAGTTGAAATGCACACTGAACAATTGTGTTTTGAGAAACAGATGTAATACGGCGCATTGATTTTCCATCAGAGCCCAAATCATAAACAGTTACTGTGCCTTTCTCACTGAGAGTATACAAAATATTGCGGCTGTTATCCACAGATATTTGCACAATTTGGTCTTCTTCTGTAAAAGCATAGCTTACAAATGATGGTACTAAGAACGATAACGTCCCTGTGGAATGATTTACTTTTTTACATCTTTTTCCAAACCAACCACTTTCAGCCTGAAACAAAAAATTAAATGTGCAAGAATCAGTAAAGTACCTCTATATAATTCAGAACATCTTCAATGATTGCATGCAGTAACAACATTAAGAAAATTTACCTGATACACTATTTCATATAGGTTGCCATCAACACCACCCATAAATATACGCCCTGATTCTGTACAGGTGGTAGTAGTCATGGTTACTCCATCAGTTGGTACAACAAAAACAGGATCCGGAATCAAGTGCATTTCTTCTAATACGCCAAGAGGGCCTTAAAAGAGGCTAGTATTTTATTACAAGGATTTAGAAAACACTTACATAACATAAAACAAATTGTAGGGAACAAGACAACCTTCAAATTAAAAATAATGAACTCAAAAGTGATACCTGTAATGCACAAAAATTATGCATTGAAAAAACATCACAGTACATTAACTAAGATAATTTTTTAAATTAGGCATACCTTCCTTTGTATTTGAAAATGTGACACCAAGTACAACAACCTCTACAGTGGTAGTCAAAACCAGCAGATACCTCACAAAATTATTAAATATTCCAGGTTTGGGTTTTGCTAAGCCAACACTCACAATAGTTTCTCCCACACCATCAAAGTATGCTACATCCGAGCTAGAAATAAAAACAAATGTAAAATATGACTAGAAAACAAATAAAACACAACTCAAAATAAAAATACTAACCCATGCTCATATGTCCAAACATAAATATCTGTGTCGATTGTTAGCCAAGCTCTGCTTATTTCTGTAAATAAACCCATGTTACATCGACATTGCATATCTGAAAACGGTTTTAAGGAAAAACACTAAAAGGAATGTGCATTCCATTATTGCCAATGTTTAGATTACAGCCAGCTAAGTTAAACAATAAACCAAAGAATTCTAACAAATTCATTCAAGTGAATAATAGAGATGCAGTTTACAAGGCCCTAACAGACAAAGCTGAATTTAAAGTTGGTAAAAGGTTTTCTGATGCATTTTTACATTTTTCTTGCCTAGAGAAATAAATAAAAGAATTCAGTCAAAAGTGGTGCTACATTTTTCCCCATTAAAATTGCCAAAATCCCCTGAACATGAATTTCTTTAAATCTGAGTGGAAAATGATAAAATATACTCTACAATGATGCAATTAACCCTCTGTTGCAGTGGGTGCATGTCACAATCATGGACCAAGACTCTACATGGTTTTTATTGCTATCTATTATGTTATCTTATTTACTTTATATTATATGTAATAAATGAATACTTGACTAAGTCACAAACTGTTTATATTGTTTATCACACAATTATATGTATGTTTCAAATAGCAAATACCTTCTACTTATGCATGATATGTGAATTGAATAAAATTATATTTTTCAAATTGTAATGAACATATGGAGTTTGAATACAATTTCTAATAATAATGTTAGGGAGGTGATAATAATAAAATAATCCAAAACAACTTATAGAAGTTCTTGTGTATATTGCATCTCTAGCTCTATTATATTAAGCACAAAGATATGCTAATAACTTATGTCCACTAATGCAGAGCACACATTTTCTTCCCATATTTCATCTTTAAAATAAGTTATAACCGAGGTAATGTCACTGTACAGAAAATTTGTACACATTATTCCTTCAATATAAAACACAGATACATGCAAGTGACAGTCCACATTTGAAAACTGTCATTCATTACTTAACTTCTCATTGCTTTAACCATTTCAATTTTTGATCCTTAAGGGAAGAAATGGAAGCTATTAAAAACTACCAATCACAATTTTGTTTAAAAGATTATTATTGACAAAAAAACTGACAGGCAAACTTTTGTTATCAGCACATGTATGCCACAAATTAATTCAGAACATGTAGTACTAATACAAAGATGTTACTGCAGAAGATTTAAGACATTCTTGGCACAAGAAATAGCATAAAGGATACGTCCAAAATGTTCCATAACTTCTGGAGGCAATGGCAATTTGCTAAGAGTACTCATCAACTTAACATCAGAAATTCCAGGAATATTCGGATAATGAGGGTCAGCTTGGCCACTGACTGTTGGGCCACCTACAAAACATATCCATTATGAGAGAATTCTTAATTAATTACCAAAAAATTAAGTGTGCACGTTAAAATGAAATAATATTTTTGGTATCTCAATAAAATAACTTGTACCTGTTGCGTTGATCTCTGTAATATCAAGAAATGTTGGAATAGAGTTATCAGCCACCATATGCTTTTCAAGCACTTTACCTGCCAACTCCAATGATTCAAGGTGAATCCTAAATGGATCTACTGGAGGTATTCGCTCCATCACGGTACTTGTGAGAAGACTCCTGATAAACAAAATTATTAAATGTTATTAAAAGATTAGACATGAAATAATTAATTTACAAGCAGAGTTTAATTTCACTGAAACACAAAATATGCAATATCCAATTCAAAATTACATTTTATCATTGGTAGATTTATCATTTTATCATCAGTATCGGGAAGTTATTTAGCGTACTTCAATTGTATTAAAAAGCATGTTCTAATAGAAAGCAAAGAACATGATGTAATTCAAACCAGATTTTAAAAAAGCGATAACAAGATGGTCTTCATGTTTAATTTCTAAAAAACAGGGGAACGGTCTAAATGTAAGCAAGTTTTTACAAAGAAATACAAATTAAAATATTCTGTCTTGCAGTTTTATAATGAATACCTATTGGATAGGTCAGCATCAACTACATTACATTAATATTATTTATATTCATGAACAACACACACAGCTAGAGAAACAACAGGAGATACAAATAAAATGTAAATATTTAATATAATATTCTACAGGTTTATTTGAAAACATTTTGACAATTGTCCTCATGATAAAAGACATGATCTTCTTGTAGGTCCATATCCCTAACTACAGAATGATAACTAAGTTCAAACAGCTCAATTATGAAGTAATGAAAGATGTAAATGGAACAAGTAACAAAATTTATGCATCTACGCATTTATGCATTTATGACAGCACGACACAACTAAGAATACACAACACAACACCTAAGCCAATGTTAAAGTGCAGATCAGAAATATGGACCCTAAAACAAAGACTGTCGGAGATTAGAAGCTATGAGATTTTTCCGGCACTCAGAAAGAAATTACATGGTTTAGAGCAACAAAGAAACATTAAAACCAGAAAAAAACTAAAAGCAAAAAATTTAGTGGATGTCATTAAAGAGAACCAGAGGAGATGGCTTTCAGATGTGCGAAGAATGTAAATGGAAAGATTTCCTACAGCAGTTTTAAAGTACAAAACCCAGAGGTCGAAAAAAATATAGGAAGACTCCAACAAAAGATAGATTGCTCAGAAGGAGTAATAATAATTAGATTGACTGTCTTTTAAGAGGTACAGGCACCAGTCCTACTATCCTGCTGTTCATGATGATTTAAGATTTAAATTACTAAACGGGATTAGTGATTTTTTGCCTTTGCCTATCATGTCTTATTAATATATGCAGAATTTGCATTTGAAGCCACAACTTAAATGCAGGCTGGCTGCTATAGACCAAATCTTTTAAATTAAATTTAATTTAACCTCTAAGATTTAGGAAAGAAAATTAGGTTTGGGCCATTAAAAATACTTAAATAAATAAAACCTTTTAATTACTTACAGGTTATGTATTTCTTTAATCTCTCTTTCTCACTGATTTATATTTAAAGTCTCACTTGAACTACACAATACATTAATAAACAATATTACTGACGATACTAACTTACTTATCTTCAAGGTAATTTAAATTATAAAATTGAGGAAATAAACGAGTCATTTTCCGTGCTACACAATGAGAAAATTTTCTTTTTGAGAGCGAGGATTTGGAAACAAAGTTTTGCTGAACATATTTTAATTATTGAAATCTAGAAGTGCTGGTGCACAATAAAAATTGCAATGTAATATGGTAAGATCTATGCTAATTAAACAAAAGGTTTTTTAAAAATTGGAATTTTATGAATTAAATATATTGTAAATTATATTTTTATAAATATATATTCGAAGTAATTTCACAACTGCCCGGGAAAAATTTAACCTCAATACTACAAAAAAAAATATTGTTCTTATAAGTAACGATATTAATCTATTGAATTAAGTCATATGCAATTACTCACATGGTGAAATAATTGTGTTAACACCGATCGCTTAGACGAAACGCAACAAAATCACTCTTTCGAACTCTTTAACCTCTCATCTCCCGCGTTGTCTCCCAGCCCGCCTTCCAATCCAACCACCGGGATGCATCGAACGAATCAAACAACGAACCAGTTGGTTTTGTTGGTATTGCACAAAAGTTACCTCGGATGTTGGCGAAACTGAGTCACATGAAGAGCTTAGCGCGTGTTTGAATGAATGGTCAACATCAGTCAACATCGTCAACATGATCATCGATTGATCTGTGAATCGTCAAAGGTGAATGCTCGTTTGCTGCAACTTGCATTGTTATAGATGGCTAGGATCTTATCCAAAAAACAGTAAATAAGGCGTAGATCTATCATGTTTCGTTACTCGTTTCATAAAACTTTGATAAATGTATACCATGTTTTTACTCCTAGAAAGTATTTATGTTCTAACCTCAAATTCAAATCAAAAAAATGTGAAAAAGTTCTTTACAATGCATTACCAAAACCAGAATTGGATATTAAATACTTGTGTGATGCTAAAAATAAAGAAATTATTGAATTAAACATTAAAAAAAGAAAAGGTGTGGGAAATATTAACCGGGTTCAAGAGTTATATCACCAATTTGAAAACGCAGTTTCCCAAGACAAGTTGGCACTTGAAGAGGAATTCCTTAAAGAAGCTCTTCAACTTCCTAACAGTTCACATCCACAACTTCTTAGTTATGCTGATGATCCAAAGATTGTGAATAAAATTAATGAAAAGAAAGTTTTTACCTTTAAACCTAAGGAGTTTAGCACAATCACAAAAATACTTAAGGTATTAAAAACTGAAAACTTGGGAAATTTTGCTGGTCACAAAAGTTATTATTTATTGGGGGGATTGGCGGAAATGGAACAGGCTCTGATTAAATTAGCACTTCAAAACTTACTTCAGAAAGGCTTCAAGTTAGTACATGTACCTGATATATTACCTAGACACATAATTGAAAGTTGTGGCATGAACACCAGAGGAGAAAGAACACAGGTATGAATAGAAAATCATCTAATACTTACTAGTATTTTTCTTTCTGTGATACAAAAAGCATTACTGTTAAATTGGCTATACTTGTTTTTTAGGTGTATGAACTCGATTCTGAAAAACACCTTCCAGATATGATATTATCAGGAACATCAGAAATGGCTCTAGCTGGATACTTAATGAACAAAGTCTATTCATCAAATGATCTACCTTTAAAATATATGGCTGTGAGTAGATGTTATCGAGCTGAAACATCAGCTGTTACAGAAGAAAGAGGTATATATAGGTAAATACCCATCCAAATTCATGAATAATGTAAATAGTTTGTTTAATTTGTTGCCTGAGATTCATGATCTTTTGTTTCTTCCCTTATAGAGTACATCAATTCACAAAGGTGGAAATGTTTGGAGTCACAGAACCAGAGAATTCTCATACAGTTTTGGAAGAATTTAGAACTATTCAGGAAGAGTTTTTTGCTTCATTTGGTCTTCACTTCGTAACACTGGATATGCCTCTTCATGAGTTAGGTGCCCCTGCCTTTAGGAAATATGATATTGAAGCTTGGTTACCAGGTCGAGGCATTTATGGTGAAGTGTCTAGTTGTAGTAATTGTACAGATTATCAGTCACGTCGGCTTAATATAAAATATAGTCCATCTGGAAGCAATAAACTATTACATGTACACACTATAAATGGAACAGCTTGTGCCATTCCTCGAATGCTAATTGCTCTTTTGGAAACAAATCAACAATCAAATGGATCAGTTCAAATTCCAGAAGTTCTACAACCTTTTATGAATGGAAAGACCATCATCACAAGAGAAGAAAATCTTCCCAAATTCCATTTAATCAGAACAAAACTTAAGTAGATGTGGGAGTGACAAATTACCATTTTTCATACTACTGAATATCTTTATCTATAAAGGTATTGTTTTTAGGGACAAAAAGCATCTGTTTTAAAGAATGCTAATTGTTAAATTTATTGTATTAGGTATACATGAGATAGCACATTTTTCTTTGATACAAATTATAAATTTATGACAGTGTTTTGAACAGAAAAATAAATATTTCATTAGTTGTGTGAAAGTCACTGAATGAAAAAAAAAATTGCAATAATTCCAGTTAGTAAATTTGTGGGAGATGTATATAGCTAGAAAATTACGATGTTCAATCCTAGAAAAGATAAACATCCTTTTGGATTAGAAGCAATTGTTAATCAGTGTAACCCATTGTGTAATTGAAACATATGGATGTTGTTATATAATTGTATATATTTTAATAAACATGTAGTGTTTTGTTATTGTGGAAAATATCTATTACAATACCTTCAATTAGAAGTAAAGATGATACAAATTCTACAAAATAGTTTTTGTTGACTCAGGAAAATTAAGGGTGCACATGAGGGTGTTAACCAATACTACATAGATTCAGGAAATAGAGAATTCTGAGTGTTTTGTTTATCAGACTAGTAAACATCTAGAAAAGGCATCCTAACAAATTCATAATTATTTCATTACGTCAACTTTCAATTTTTGTGGGTAGTAGTAAAAAGTATTTACCTACACTTAATTAAAAAAAAATTCTGTTTCTATTGGTTTACTGCAGTATTCTTAGTAGCTTTTAGTCTTTCAAGTGTTCCTGCTGTTGCCATTTCTTTTGTGGATTTCCTATATCTCTGTTTCCTCTTGGTTTGTACTTCCAGTTCAATTTTGGCAGTTGTTCATTCTCATCAAGGAATCCTTCTGTTTCTTTTGTGAATGTTATGTTTCTTCTACCATACCTTTAGTGTTCATTTTCTTTCTTCATATATTTAGGTAAGGTAATGGCACTGAAAATATACAAGTTACCTAAAGCTGACGTGTGGATAATTGTTTATAAAAGAAGCATTCTAGTAGTTAGGGTGGTTCACAAAGAGGTGGCAGTAATAGTCCAGACCATTGCTGGAGGTGACAAGTGCAATTATTTCCAATCAAGAAATTTATCTTGCGTTTGATGGACATAAGATTTGGCATGTGTATTTGAGTGGGTAATCCATAGAAATTCTTAAGAATTTCTTAAGCAATTTGTTTTTTTCTTTAGTCTATAATATGAAATGAGTTTGCAGTATGGTATTGGGGTGTTAGGATATTAACAAGGAAAGAATTAGGAAGTGTTCTATGTATTTGTAACCTTATTTGAGGCTAGACCATCAATATTAGTGGGGTTGTTAGGTTTAGGTTTTCAAAAATTTGATAGCACCTAAGGATGACAGTGGGGTCAACTTTAGTTCTGATTATAATTTTGCACTCTTTACATTGTGTTAACATGCAGAAAATGTCATAAATGTGGGGTCTTAAGTTTAGTATTCTAATTGGACCAGAACCTAAAGTTGTCATGGTGTTTCAACCTTAAGCTCCCAGTACGCCAGCTTTTAGAAACATTTTAATTAATGTGCCCTTTCTGCAAATTTAGGTAATATGGCATCCCAAAATATTCTCTATTACACTACGGACGCACTGGTGAAAGCAATAGATGATGTAAATAGAGGGACAAGTTATGATGCAGCAACAAAGGAGTTTGGTCAGATATGTATTTAGTAAAGCATTTGATGAAAAAGAAAAGTAATTAATTAGTGATATCCAAACAACTGTATACCTGAACTGATCTCGTATGTGTTCTGTCTAGCATTACATTTAATCAAAATTATTAAATACAATCATTTACTAAAATTAATTTGTGTTTTTGTTCACAACCTCTTTAGGCATGTGTCATACATGTCAGCTTTAGGAGCCAGTAATAATTCAAACTGTTGAGTTTGCACTTTTTGAACTAGCATGTGACTTAGCACAGTGTTAGTTTCTCCATTCTAAAAAGAAATTGTCTTAGAAAATTAAATTAATTAGTGAAGGGGAAGGTATTTAAACCCATAAAGAATCCAACTATATCTGAAGAGAATGGTTGTTGTAAATATTTTGACTACATCAATCAGTTGGAAGTAATTTTTCCTTTAATCTGTCAGTTTTTGGTGCCGCTAACTTACTTAATTATTTAGGTAAGTAATTCATGTTTTTGTTTATGTCTTACCATACAGGTATTTGTAAAATGATAATGCCATTACTTTGTAATATTTTGATTTTTTATTACATTCAAATATTTTGTTACAAAATACATCATGAGTGTTGATCAAACACTACCATAAGTTACATCTTAAGTATCTTATTGGTAATCCAATTGTAACTTGTGTATTTAAAATAGATTTATTTACATTTATATACAATTACAAGATATTATGTTTACTTATAACACTTCTGTGTTTTTATGGCCATTGAAACTTCCATAAGAAATAGTATATGTATGGTAGATAGTAATGTTAGAAATTCTGGAAAAACTTCATTGAAGATTCAAATTGATGAGCAAAATATCAACACAGAAGACATGTTTGTGAATATTTGTGTTATGAATTCCATGAAGCTAATAATATATATTCTGTTTTATAATATGTCTTCTGTTGCATACTTTATTGGCCACAAGTTGAGCAATTGACTCTCTGTGACCTCACATTTCAAAAGTCATATTTTTCATTAGATGTAAACAATGAATAAGGTAAAATAATTCTGACTTGTAAGAACTGTATGTGTTCTTACCTTCTGTTGTTCATGAAATTTTTTTGTCTGGGATATGTTATCTTGAGAATGGTATTATTTCTTTGTGAGAAAATATTTTTCTCATCTATACATAAAATTTTTCTCATTATAATATCCAGTCATTAATATAATGTTGACATGGAAAAGCACAAGAAGTTTGACATTGAGAACATCAAGTACATAACAGCAAACTCAGATGTACATAAAACTAATTAGCACATTTAACTTTCAAAATATATGTCATTCTAAGTGAAACTTCTGACCCACATAATTTTTTCTGTATATAGTATTTAGCATACATAATAGTGTTATATAGACAATATTACAATTATTTTCACAAGAATATTTAAAAGAGCATGTTATTAATGCTGTTCTCATTTTATTTTACTTTGCTAATTCAATGAGAAGCTCATTAATAAAGCACCTAACAAAACAAAAGTTTTGTTAATGCCCTTTCATATCATTTCATCAGAATGTGTATTGACTGGTGTGATTTCATGTAAAATGCTTTATCAAATCTAATATTCATGTTGTAAGCAGAGAATGTTCGGTGTAAAGTTTGTATACATCATTTATCATTTTGACTTAAAGAATGAACTGTTATAGAAGGTACTACTGACATATAGAATGGCAAGTGCAGTGTCTAAGAGAGTCAAATAAACTAGATTTTTTACTATTATACATATTTAATGTGATACTAAAATGCCAAGTTACTGAGTTATTTTATCAAATATTTGTTTTAAATATAATTAAACAAGAAATTAGGAAAATATTCATGAAAACTTTAGAAAAATAAATGATGTATAAATATATCATCGCTGCACCTGAAAAACTGGCTATCTGAACTGTTATTTACACTTTAAGCAGTGACTCACTACTTACAATTGATACTTTAATTGTACTTCAGTCATAATTTTATTGTAAGAAATATAATGATGCATTAGCATATATGATACCAGAAAATGTAATCATTTGAAATGGTTAATGTTTGTCCTGTAAAATGGCATTCACTCCACATGGCTATTACAGGCACAACGATGATACGAATTTCCATTTTTAATAAATTTTGTCACTTCAGTCTCAATTCTTTAAATATTTAACTTTATGGATTTAAGCACCAAACTAGTAACATGACAAATAAATATAAATTTGCTAATGAATGAAAATGTTCAGCATCCTTTATCTAAAATAGTTTTGTAATAAATAGTTTCATCTCTACTAGAATGTGTTCACAAATTTGTCAGGTCTGAAAGACAAAATGAAATAGCTACCAATTTAAAACTCTCACTTGGGGTTATTCTAAAATGGTATATTGCTATCCTTATTTTTGCAGTGAAAGAATTAATACATCATCTTTTTTAATAATCAGGACTGTGTTTTGGGATATGACATTTACCAAACAAATAAAAATGTAAATTTTGTTGATGATGCCATCTTAAAACAACAGATTCTAGTTGAAGCTGAATGAATAAAAAAAGTAGGTGAACACTAGAAAACAAAAGTACAGAAAATACTTGATATACAAAGTGTACTGAGAAATGTAAAACATTTCACACCTTGCAGCATCAAAATATCACAACCAATTAAAAAGTTCTTATCCAACCATGTCTGTCTTAGTATAAAATATTATTTAAGAAAGAGAATTGTGTCCATGCCTAGGTTCCTTGATTACATGATACGTAACTGAATTTTATTTTTCCTCTTCTTCATGATGAGATTTTGTTTGATCATGAACAATCAGTTAGGAACATTTCCACAAGCCACTAGTCATACTAAGACAGCAACATATTCTTCTTATTATTATCACAGTTGCAATCCAGCTAACATGATGTAGAAGTGCTAGGTGACTAGAGAAGGGAACAGCCATTTGAAAGAAAAATCTTAGTTGCTCTGTTATTAAATTCCCTTAATTTCTATAACTATTATTGATCATAGAAAATTGGATGTGCACACAATTTGTTTTCAATATGACTGTGCCAACCCTGTCTATCAATCACCTCAGCAATTGCTCTATAAGCTCTTTGACAACTCCATTTTCTGATATTTAGAAATTTGTGTCATAGTCAGATCGTCTGCGGGTATATCCACTAGCACTACTACCATTGCCATAATAAGCATTATAATAGTATCCATTCCATTCGGAACGCCAGCTGTCATACAAGTTGGACATGCTGTTTTCCTGAAGTGAAGCAGATGACCTCTGCAACAAAAAAGGATTACATAATGTTAATTAATAATAAATATTATTATATATGAATAATAAATATAAATATTGATGAATGAATTGTAGAATATTTAAGTATTATTATTTAATTGTTGAAAATCAAAATCAACTAATCTCTCAATTACACATCACATCACATTTATTTATTGCTTATTATGAATGAAATTAAATCAGTGTTGCTGTGATGTAGTATCTGAATATACAACAACTCCCTAATTTTCAAGAGACCTGAAAATGTTTAACTAATTCTTACTGTTTAGTCAAAATAAACTTCCAAATTGTCTTACTGACTAGAGAAATGCCTTGATGAGAATGTTAAGACTTATTGCATAACTATCATTATCTTGTGTCTTAAAATGATAATCATGGTTTTTGTCACAGTCCTCCTTTTTTCGTACACGTATGTATATACAGAGTAATTTATGTTGTTTATAGAAAGTTATGTAATGCTGCAGAAAATAGATTTCTAAATTTCAATGGGAACCTTTCAACAATTCAGAACCTTTTGGGGTCTGAATGCATCTATAAGCTTAAGGTCTACCCCTATTGTTTAAAATTTGCAATCAATTTTATACATATGTTCAGCTTTACATTTTACTGTACTGTAGTTATTACTCTTTCCCTTGACAAACATTGCCAGTTTTTGTAATAAACTTCAAATTTTATTTTGTTAGTATGTTACCTTCTTTGGAGGTTTGTCATATGGTTTTTCATTCCATACATCTTCCATGTTGTATAGGTCTTCTGCTGCATAATTATCTAAGCCTCCCATATGGTTTTTATTTAATTCATTTAGCATATCTTCAGTCAAAGGTACTGGCTGCTTCTTTTTGTTGTTTTTATGTCGATTCACAAGCTATAACATGAAAGAAAATGCAAATTCTAAAACTGTATCATAACTGTCAAAATTCAAACTACAGAGGAGTGACATTACAGGTAATAGGAGCCTAATTGAATGCCATTATTCTCTGTTATAAGGATTATAGTTAATTTGAAATCTGCTATTTTTATGTAAGAGAAGTTCAAAACTGGAAATTATGTTACAATAGAATATATTATATAATTACCTCGTATACCTAATTATAATATAAATTAATGCAATTTGATACATATAGAAATATATAATAATATTGTGAAATTATAAAATATTTTCTCTTTGCAGTCATAAGAAGTACTGACTTATTATTGGATGAATTATGTATTGCATTACTGAATTCACACAACATACCACTGTGACACCAAATATGATGACAAAGAGTAGAGATGCAAGGCCAATAACAATGCCAGCTATGGCCCATTGAGGGACTAAGACGTCCTCTTCTGCATAGCCCACTGTGGGATCTTGACGTTTGGGTATCACTGGTAACAAGAAATTCAACAATCTGTTATTATGTAGTTTATGCACTTTAATGATGATATACATGACAATTAATGAAGGGATAGTACAAAATCAACAAATAGAGAGAACACATTGAAAAAGAAGTATACTATGCCAACCAATAATTAATAATTATAATAAGAAAAGGAGATCAATCATGTAATCAAGAAATGTTTGAAGTGTGATTGAATGAAAAAAAAATCTCACATTTATGCTCACATTTCAGAAATCATATGAAGAAAATGTGCCTGGCAATTTGTTGTTAATTACAATGTTTACAAGCCTACTATTATTATTCATGACATGACTTAATTTACTTAATTTTTGGCATGTAAGTAGAAATGTAAGAGTTTATATCAAATATGTGGCAACACCACAAAATTAAGTTACGTCTTTACTCTCATGTGTCAAGTCTCTTTAATTACCTAGGTACTCTTTGTGAGGATGTCTTTTTTATACTTATCTTACCTATGAAATCTGTGTACTTTGGATCAACGACAAAATTTCCCAACTTCAGTAGATTTTGTGGATTACCAAAGGACAGATAATCACTGCTGTTGTAGACAGCTGTATCATTTATGGTATCGATTTCATCTGCACTAATGTCAGTAGCAGATTCAGTTAAGCTGTCATGAAACAACCTCTTTAACTCCTGTGTATCTACTTGTCTTCCAAGATCTGTTAATTCCACAAAGTAGTCAACAAGAACACTTCCTTTGTTTCCTTCACTGTGAAAAGGCAATTTATAAAAGATTTTTCAGTATTGTATAAAGTAATTTACAATTTTTTGCTGTTTGAATATATTATTAAATGTACAACTAAAATATTATTCATCAAAAGCAAAAATGTAAAATTAATTACCTGAAGTCATCTATCCTCACTTTTCTGTACCACTGGCTCAAAGAATCAGATTTGCTATACACAGAATCCAGCTGAAAAAACAATAAAAAATAAAAACTTCAATGATTTCTAGCCAACTCTTAGTTATTTTTACCTCCATCTAGATCACAGTGTAACTATATTCACTGGCCAATGTGTTTAGTGAAATAACATTTCCTAAGCTTTTTATTACTAGATATACTGTGCTTACAGAAGTTAACAGTAATCAGGAAATAGTGAATTAATAAATAAAGCTCTGAACAGTTCTTTTTAAGAGCAACATAGGTAACATATATTATAGTAAGCCTTATGGTAAATCAAAGCATACAGAGATAAGAAATACTGAAATCAATTTAGCTTTTAGAAATGAAGAAGGAAGTGAATTACCAAAGAAAAGGAAATATGACAAGAGCTATTAGATAGTGCGATAATGTAATATCTATAATATAAATATTTACTGCACACATTTGTTACCTGAGTTTGAACTTCATTTGCAAGATCTTGCCACTCTCTGGTATTGTGATCTAATAACTCTGGTACCCATTGTTCACTTCCAACCAGCTTAATTGTAGCTGCAAGATCACAATCTGCAACACACACTCCAGGTGTAGTTGGCTGAGGTGTTGTAGTTGTTGTGGTTGTAGTTGTTGTTGTTGTTGTCGTTGTAGATGAAGTTGAACTTGTAGTGGTTGTTGCTGTTTTTGCTGCTTCTAAAAGTTTCTCAATCGATATTGGTGTTGTTGATGGTGTTGGCCACCCTGTGAAAGCTGTTGTAGCTCTGGAAATTCAAAAGGAAAGCACATTTGAAATAAAACTCTTGTGTACAATTCATTATTCAAATGTTATTTTCCTGTTAAACTATTATCTATTCAGTTATTAGCTAGAGCACAAATTGATTAATAAGAAATAACAGTACCTTGTTGGCCATCCTTTCTGAATAGGTGGTAATGATGGCTTTGGAGCAGCAAATGATTTAGTAGTTGTTGTGGGTCGAAGGGTAGTTCTTCTCGCCATTCCAGGAACTGATGGAAATTTCACTTTAAAAGATTTAGTAGATGTTTCAGGATTAGAACCGTCACCATTATTGCTATTTTCATTTGAATCTTCTGTTGATTTCAGTGTACTTGAAGGAAGTTTAAAGTCTGGTGGTAGAAAAGCACTAATATCCGCTGACTTTGCTCCATTGAGTAAACCCTCAACACCTTTGGGTTTTTCGGTCGTTGAAGTGTGTTTTCCTCTTAAATTGTAACCAGGGGGCAAAAATGCACTAATATCATCTTGTTTGGTTTTACTGAAAATTCCTTCAATTCCTTTTGGTTTTTCAGTTGTTGATGCTGAACTCTTTGTAACATATCCTGGAGGCAAGAAGGCACTAATGTCATCTTGTTTGGCTTTGTTAAAAATCCCTTCAGCACCCTTTGGTTTTTCAGTAGTTGATCCAGAGGTTTTGGTAACATACCCAGGAGGCAAGAAAGCACTTAAGTCATCTTGTTTCACTTTACTAAAAATAGATTCTAGACCTTTTGGCTTTTCAGTACTAATTGATGGCTTTCCAGGGGTAACAAAGTCAGGAGGTAAGAAAGCACTGATGTCATCTTGTGTTACTTTGCTAAACAAACTTTCTATTCCCTTGGGTTTTTGTGTTGTAGTTGATGTTATTTGTTCTTTGAATCCTGGAGGTAGCAGGGCACTAATATCATCTTGTTTTGTTTTGCTAAATAATGCTTCCAACCCACTTGGTTTTGATGTTGAACTCTCTTCCACTTCTTTTGTTTTAGATAGTGTTGAAAGATTATATCCTGGTGGTAAAAGAGAACTAACATCTTCAAATTTAATATTGCTGAGCAAATCTTTGATAGTTATTTCCTTAATTTGTTTTGTTGCATTTGCTTCTCCCGCAGGAGGTTTGTAACCTGGAGGAAGTAATGCACTAACATCTTGCGCCTTTACTTTATTCTGTGCACTACTGATCCCAGATGATCTACCACCTGATGCTCTTGAGCTACTAACCCGTAATTTACTGTTCGTTACTGGTAGTGCTGGTTGGTCTCCTTGTGGCTTATTCAGTAAATCATCTGAACTGCCAGATTTTGAAAAACTAGTCCTTTGTCCAGGTCTTAATTTTAAGTTTGTTGATAATCCCGGATGATCATCTGTGTGAGCCCCTCCTGAAGTTTCTTGATTCTTCTTTGGAGATGGGGTAGGTCGATGTGGAGTAAACTTTCTGATAAAGACCGGCGCATAGGTAGTTGAGGTTGGTGACAATGTTGTGCTACTTGCAGCATTCATATTTTTTTGCCCTATACCTGGTTTCTCAGTAATAACTTCTAATTGTACTTCCCCACCAGTCAAAATTCCACTAGAAAGTTCAGATTGAACACGATCAAGTTTATCAATAATACTTTCTGTTGATACATTAGGAGTACTTGAGTTTGTTACATTTTCTTTACTCGTATGCGTATCCGTGTCTTTAGGTATTTTATCTGCACTGATGGGCTTTCCCGAAAGAGGAAGAATTCGTTCTTCTTGTCGGATAATTGGGGGCAAAAATCGGGCTCCAGATACACTTCGACTGGTCTGAACGGATGCAACAATTACCCAGCTTTCGGTTGGAGAGAAACTGCTGGAGTCTGGAGATTCTGGAGTAGAATCTGGAGGTGTCATTTGACCTGTAATCTGGGCAACTGGTGGTACAGTGACTATCATTGAAGTACCATTAATGACACTCTTTGTAGTAACAACTGACACAATTGCTTCTTCCATAGAATGTCCCCCATTATTTTCTGGGGGAGAGGTCGTAGGAGGGGTTCTCTTCATTGTAGCTGTGCTATGTACGGAAACCGGCTCTTCATCTGGTTCTTCAGTTGTATCATCTGAGGAAGATGTGGAGACATGAGGAGTTTCTGTAGCATCTATCAAAACACTGTCTACAAATCCTTTGAAGTTATCCTGCTCTACTAATGCATGTTGTGGATTCATTGTAAGGATTTCAAATGCACCTGTTCCATTTCCTTCGATATGTTCCTTAAAAGAATGATCATCTGTGTCTGTGTAGTCTGAAGTCTCATGCGTATTGGAGACGTCATCCGGAAACTCTGTTACCGAAATTACTTCGTCTTGCAGAATAGTCGCAGGGCTTTCTGAAATGGATGGAGAGCGGTGCGCATCCTCTTCTTCCGACGAGTAGACAGACCCGCTTTCCAGTGATTCTGCACTATCAACTAAAGGACTCTTTGTTTGAACGTTCAAAGATGTTGATGGTGATGGGAATGGTGTAGATTCACTTACGGATGTTTCTGTGGTAGACGTTTCACCCGAACTAATTTCAGGGTGTGCTTTCTCAGTGTTAAGAAGTATTGCTTCATCGGATTTAACAAAATCCGTACTATTTAAAATTGGTACATTACTTTCGTGGTCCTGATAGCGGAACGTCGTGACATTATACTTCGTTGTTGATTCAACGGAGGAGAATTCTTGTGAGTTATTGAGTTGATCATAGGCTTCGTCGTACAAGACCTCTCCGCTCTCTCCGGTAGACGATTCTCCCCCCGACTCCGGCTCTGCTGTGGGCGCGGACGGCAATCTTTTGGGAGTGAAGGGTGTCTTGGAAGGGCGAACGTTGAATTGACGCACTTTGTGCGGCGGCTTGGACGTAGGAATGAACCTAGTTCTGCCCCTCGTCGGCGGCGGGACGGTTGTGGTCGTGGTGGTGTAGCGGTTACGACCTCTCGTTCGCGACGAGTGCGTCGGCGAGTCGTCGACTGCAGCATCTTTGTGGAACGAGTCGTTTTGCGCCTGAGGGGCTTTGTTTCCGCGGTACTCAGAGGAAGCGGGGCGCGCTCTTTGAGGCGATAAGACATTGTTGCGCGACCCTGGCTGTGCTCGGGTGCTGGGCTTCTTTCTCAAAGCGGTTTCAGGTTTCCTGTCCTTCTGACGCGAAGGCGCATTCAGTCTTGGGTCCAGAGTCGACGAGTCCTCTACTTCCAAATGTTGGTCGACGTAAGTGCTTAGTTGGACGTCATCCTCTGGGGGGAAAGACTGAGAAAACAACGGCGTTCTTTGACCACCTCGGCCGCCATCGAAGTTCGATTGAGGGCGCTTTTGTGGCTGGTTGGGAGAGAACTGATCGACGAGAGACGGAGGTTGA